GCCTCACCTCTTCACATGATGCGCAAAAAGGATGGGGTTAGTTGGAGACCATGAGGTGACTACTGAGCACTAAACGTAGTTACACGCTTCGATAGCTATCCTATCCCCCACATACACGACATCACGGCATCGCTCAAGGGCACAACCATCTTTTCTAAGATCGATCTGGTACGAGCATATCATCAGATCCCGGTCACTCTTGAAGATATCGAAAAAACTGCTATCATGACTCCTTTCGGTCTGTTTGAGTTCTTACGATTGCCTTTTGGATAACGGGATGCTGTTCAAACTTTCCAAAGGTTTATCGACAGCATAGTACGAGACTTAGATTTTGTTCACGTCTATATTGATGACCTGCTAATCGCATCATCAAACGCAGATGAACATTGTCAACATCTTACACTCTTATTTCAACGCCTTTCGGATAATGGAATAGTAGTCAACCCAGACAAGTGTGAATTGGGCAAGTCGGAAATAATGTTTCTGGGTCACATCATTAAGCAAGAGGGTATTTTACCTTGTGAGGATAAAGTACGTGCAATAAGGGAGTACAACGTGCCGTCCTTACTCAAGGAACTGAAGGCATTTCTTGGTTTGGTTAACTTCTACCGTCGTTTCATCCCACACGCGGCAGAACGGTTACGACCATTAACCGATTTACTTTGCGGTGATCCACGCAGACTAGAATTGAACGATACTGAGTGTGCTGCATTTTCACAGATCAAAACGGCCCTGGCTCAAGTCTCACTCCTCGCACATCCAGACCCGTCAGCCACGCTTAGTATGGCGGTTGATGCATCGGATTTTACCATAGGAGCCGTTATGCAACAGAACATCCCCGGTAGTTGGCAACCTCTTGAATTTTTCTCACGACGCCTTACTTCCACTGAAACGAGATATAGCGCTCTTGGTCGCGAGCTGCTAGCAGCTTACTGCACCATCAAACATTTCCCGCACGCAGTAGAAGGACGTCAATTCATCTTATTCACCGACCACGAGCCCTGCATACCAAGTCTGTCCGCTACTCACCACGAGAGTGCAGACATTTGGACTATATCTCCCAGTTCACGATAGTTCTACGTCACATTAAAGGCGAGTCGAACTATGTTGCCGACGCTTTGTCACGTATCCAAGCAAATGCAGTTACTTTACCGGTGCTCGATCCTCCTGATATGGCCTCCGCCCAAGCAAACGATCCTTGTTGTACAGAAGCATCACAATCTTCATCCCTTCAGTGCCAGGAACTACCCCTAGCTACTAGCTCAGGTACTATCCTATGCGATATTTTTACCGGTCTTCCCCGACCCATCGTACTTTCTTCTTAACGTCGTCTCGTCTTCAATGCCCTGCATGGAATGTCTAATCCAGGTATCGCAGCTACATTACGTCTCATCGTTGCACGATACGTCTAGCCGTCCATGAACTAGGATATCTTTATGTAGGTTGAGCAATTCTTGCAAGGTCAACGATCAAAAGTGCACAGGCACGTAGCTGCCCCCATTGGCGCATTCGCTACGCCTAATGCTCGCTTCGATCACGTTCATATAGACATTGTAGGACCACTGCCATCATTGCATGGGTATGGCCACACACTAACGTGCATTGATCGCTTTACAAGGTGGCCCGAAGCTATGCCCATCACGTCTACTACGGCGGAGACAGTTGCTCACCGCTTCGTAGAACGGTGGATAGCGCTGTACGACTGTCCTTCGACCATCACGACCGACCGAGGACAACAATTCGAGTCTGAATTATTCTCTTCACTGACTTGACCGCTTGGTACGGAACGCTTACTCACAACCGCCTACCACCTAGCATGAAGTGGTTTAGTTGAACGGCTTCATCGCCAACTTAAAAGTACTCTTCGAGCACACGAAAACGACAATTGATACGAAACCTTACCGCTCGACCTCTTAGGTATCAGAACGAGCAAAGGAAGATATTCCATGTTCCGTGGCTGAACTTGTATACGGCATGACATTGCGTCTGCCTGGGGAATTTTTCACACCGCGGAGCAATAACGATTTTGGCAAATCAGATCACGTCCAACGATTGTCTGAATTTATGCGAACACTGCCTCCGGTGTCAACTCGTATACAACATCGACAGGTCGTCCTCCCTCGAGAGTTATCTGCCTGTTTACATGTTTTCATCCGAGTAGATTCGGTAAGCTAACCCCTGCAACAGCCTTATGAAGGATCTTTTCACGTGGTTTCTCGTCACGAAAAGACCTTCAAGGTTGATCGACACGATCGCGTCGAGATCGTCAGCATTGATCGTCTCAAACCAGCATACATCGATGACGGTGCCCTACTCGATAACTTGAGACCTAATGCTAGACCTATCAAATCTACTAGCGGGGTCCTTACATCTTCTTCAGGTCCCACGCTAGATAAATCAGACACTTTATTCTCACGTCCCGGTCAACAGCACGTGTTATTTGCAACATCTGCGGACGAGACTTCAGTTTCACGTTCAGATCAGCAGACCACAACACCCTTGACTTCGGATAAGATTGCAGGATCACGAAGTACGAACGAGACTATCGTCTCACGTTCTGGTCGCCGAGTGCGCTTGCTCGTACGCTTTCGTGACTAACCGCACAGTCAACAACGGATACGGTGTACAACTATTCCTATACTACATGCATGCTGCACTTTTTCTCTTTTCTTTTGATTTTCATTTTTTTGTACCTTGAGCCCACGACTCCGACCATCAAACGTTTGGTACCGTCGACTTCATTTGACCTTAACGAAAGCTGGTCTGGCCACCTACGCTCTTGTCCACGCACTCAGTCGATGTTCTGGTTTCACATCTGCCTGGCATATATTTGGTTTCGCACGTGGTTGTTATGGTCGCTTCTGATTGTTAGGCCAGCGTGGTTCCGTCCTACATCTGCAGCGTTTCTGGTCCGAACCCCGACGAACGCAATCTTCAGACCTTGGATATAAACCATTCTGGTGTGGTATGCCAATTTGAGCAACGAATACAGCACGCTTCTCCTGGTACCGTTTTACGTAAAAGACCTTCATTGGCAACACGGGGATCAACGATCGCTTCCTGTTTCGCCAATCCTTTCGTCCTACAATCGCACGCCTACAGATCAGTCTCTCGAACCAAACCGCTACATATCGAAAGAGTAAACTCTTTACAGAGGGGGGCTCTTGTAGTGACCTACTTTTATCAAGAGAACACGATTGGTTTATTGAAAACAATTATTATTATAACCAATTGTACCAGTGATTGTCTTACTGCACTTGTTTGTTCAACTTTATTAAAGACATCCATTATTCTTCCATTCTTGCTTCCGTTGATTGTGACCTTGAACGAACTTGCGTTTGCCCAGTGATTCCGCTTGTACTCCTTTGGCACGATCTTGGTATTCTTTCGATACCACGGGATCGCCAACAAATATATATCGCTACAACTTCCAATCGCCTTCCGATATCTGGTACGCAACCTTCTTGTAGTGGTGATCATAGTCAACCGCGACTCAACGCCACCCTACACTTCCACGATTGCTGACCTCTCCATGTTATGTGTTGAGTATGAATTTTCATAGTTATCTTATATTTAGCTCCGAAGATCGCGTGAGTACACCAAAGTCTCCATAACCTTTGAGGATATAAAAAGAAGTGCCACCAGACGGTTACTTGAAGGCTCAGTGAGTTAGTCTTTGAAAATTGGTGTGATGCATGAAAAATTGTAAGTGTCCATGACCTCACCTTAGCATAACGATTGTGAGGACATGACACAAGATTAAAGTCTTCTTTCCTAACATCGCAGTGTTGCCCATGTTTGATCCAGGGGATGCATTTTTGTTTAGATCCTGCAGCTGTTGACACACGAATCCAGTGTATAGGTTTAATTCTGAGACTCCTCTTGCGTTTCAGGTGAAACGATTGTCGATGTAGGTTGTACATGACAGTTAAAATGTCTAAAAATACCGTTTCGCCAGGAGCTCTGCGGCATCGACGCCATTATTTGTCTGACCATTGCGACTAATAACCGAGAAATCCAGGTTTCAGCTTGTCGACGACAGGCTGCATGACAGAATAAGCTTTTTAATTGGAGAAAATTGTCAATTATGTTGTCCTAATACTGAAGCCTATCTTTCTTCAGTGTTTTTGAGCATTGGTCTCTTGCTGCCTACATATGCTGTCGTCACTATTTAGCTTTCGAAGGTTATGCTTTCATATGACTGTAGGTTCAAATGGTTCAAATGGTTGTGGATGGAATAGGAGAACCTTCCGATTAACGGGCTTAAGGGTCTAGTAGCAGTGGAATCACCAATACCTCCAGGCAGGAACATAGGCATAATAACGATAATAGAGGAAAACGATTGGTAAATCATAGTAAGATATTATCCTTGGTCCTTAAGAATAGGTCAAGTTTCCCTTAAACGAATCCTGGGAAGTCGATTGGACTAGCTCAGTCGGCAGCCAATTCTAGGATTTGACAACTCTTAAAGAGTAGAAGTTGTGTCTACAGTCCGTTCTGCTATGTTGTTTCCCCAGTTTCTGGGTGTTACCCCTTAAGTTAGTGTTGGAGCTAAAATTATCTAGGTGTTTAAGGGGATGTCCAGAAGTGTTAAGGATACTGTGAGCCCTTAAGTTGCTTATAACTTCTTGGATCCGTTTAAGGAGTGGACTGATTTGTAGCACCTAAGATTGTATGCGGTTATAAATCTCAACGAGCGTTTAAACCCATTAGAGAGTAAGCTTTACAGTTAACCTGTTTTTTATTTTGTTTTAAACTTCAACCCGTGTTGTCAATAGAATGATTAGACTCAGTTTTTAATATCATTTTCTAAGAAAGGTTAGACTTTCACGTTGCCAAAATCCTCAAGAGTTCTTATCGGTTGTTTGGTCTTTAATATTTATTGCTGTTGATCGAAGACTAAGTTCAACTGGGTATTGAAATTTGTATATCTAACCTTCGACGAAGTCAAATGTAGAGTTACACAATTGTTTCATCGCTCGTTTTGTGTTGTGTAGTTCATGGAATCAGTTAATTTTAAGCCGCTTTACGGAACAGAAACACGAACTAAAGCGGTAGAATGCATTTTAGAGCCACTGTTCACAAAAGTGAAGTGTTTTGCGAGGAGAGGTCACATGAAAGGTTCTTACCGTCTTAAGTCAAAACCACAGGAGGATATTTTGTCTAGTGTCAAAGAGGTAATATTTCGTCATTCTTGTACATTACAATCCGCAGGTTATTCAGCTGCTTAGTGACGATTTCAGTGTTGTCCAGAGTGTTCCCTCATTATCGTCAGATTTTTTAACCGCTAAAACAGATGTTATTGATACTGGGCAGTATTTTTATTCTTCAGTTTCCAGTTTTTTGTCTGACCCTGCAAATGAATCCCATCAGAGTGGTGTTTGTCGATCTATCAATGCCCTTTTGGCTGCTTTGAGCAGACTACTTATACTAGCTGATATAGCAGACTCATTGGTTCTTAACCAGCAGTTCGAGGCCGTCCTCAGTGGTATTACGGAATTCCAGTCAGTCTCTTCACACGCGGTATGTTTTATGTAGTGTTTGGTTGCTTGACCAATTATTCCGTCCATTGGATTCACAACGACGTCATCTTAAGGGCCATGTTCATGTAGCATTTATGTCGTTTGATGTTCCTCTTGTAATCTATCATCACTTCGACCGTATACTAGAACTTCTTAAAGGCTTCTTGGCGAAAATGTCCTAGCTTTGTTAACCCTTATATTTTAGAACAAGAGACCCGATGTTTCGGTGTAAAGATTTAAGTACACAAATTGAGAGTAGAGATAAAAAATCTGGAAACATCGACACCCAGCTTCTAAGTGAGATCATAACACCAAGACTTTTGGGAAATAAAATAGCCCCTAGCTCTTTTTGCGCTTTTGGTCGGTCACAAAGTATTTATGTTTATAGACTGGTACAAAGCTCCTCGTTCTCGTGTTTTCAGAAGGGTTAATATTATGGATCGTTACATGTTTCTTGTGCGTTACACCTTTTGTATGGGTCCACAAGTTCATCTCAGCTGATTGTGGATGCTAAAAATGTGATTGTTTTTAAGGTGTAGTCGGAAAAGTTGGGGTCATAGACTTCTTCGTGGATCTGATTAAAGGATTCGTGTTGATCTTGCGCACCTGGGCATGTGACTGGAAATCTGAGGGTACAAATGATTAAGACCGGTTACATACAACCTTTGTGTAATTGGCTTTCTTATAGCTAACTCCGTAATTCACAGTCCTTACTGTTAGAGCCGAAGAATCATAGAGGATGGGAGGAAATGCTTTTTAAGAGTTAGGGTTTTATAACCCTTTACTAAGAAAAACGTTTGGTTGGTGAGGCTACCCCTTTATACCTTTCCATACATGCTAAAGTCAAATCATATCATTTATATATATACATACATATTTTCTCTTTCTTAGGAACTGAGTCGTTTGTGGAATACCTTTTACCCTCATGTATTACAACTTATCAGCTTGTCAAAGAAACGTGCATCTGATCTAATTGATCTTGAAGACCGCAGAAAAATTGAGTCTGCCAACTACGTGCTTAAAAATAATACGCCTTTATTACATACATCTTGTAAGGTAAGTTCAACCTATGATAGAAATAATGTATTTTTAAAGCTTGAATGAACATAAAAATAAGTGCCCGGTGTTTCTCAACATCATCGTCATGGAAACCGCCCTTTAGCAGGACGGAGAATGTTAAAAGTTTTTTCGCTCATTGTTATATTACAAATATGTCATTCCTATTATACAAAATCATCGAACACTGAATTTATTTGGAACTCATATTAAGTCGGTGTGGATACTTGCTAGGCCAGGTTTGTTAGTTAAGCAGGTAAAGGAATTCACTTGTTTACATAACTGCATAAGTATACACAAAGTTTAGATTTAGCAGTCCAGTAAGATTTTGAGACACTAGTTATAAAATTACATTTAAAGTAATAAGTTAGTGTTGTGAATGTTTTCGCTAGCGATTTCGTCAGGCCCACATGACTTCAATCCTCCCATTTAACCTCTTCACCAACTTATTGATGTGTGTCAACTATCACTTGGTTTTAAGGAGGCCAAAATATGACATCAGTTAATGAAATCACTGTCTGTTAGTTTTTTCCGTGTCATTACGGTTATACTAGCGGCGGGATAACTGACTTAGCGGCTGGAAACATTGACTGAAAAGGCTCAGAACCAGTCAAGCTTATGTAAATGCATCCACTCCTTATGTCCTCCTAGATTCTTAAATCCAAAATCATACTCTTTGTTTATCGGACTCATTCCTTCTTTTCGAATGACATTCTCTATGTATGTTTTTACAGTAGACTAGATATGATACCAAGTTAACTTGGTATGAAAACTCAATAAGTGGCTTACTAAATGTCTAGGTAGTTCTGTCAAATATTCAGGTACCGGAAGTGCCTATTGTGCGTTTCACTACACTTAACAGGCGTTGTCAAGTGAGTAGCCAATCTTGATCATTTTTGCTTTCTTTACTTCAGCTCAGAGTTTTCTTAAATTTCACTTTACAATACAAGAAACCTTTCGATCAATGAAAAAACGTACTTTTTTTTCCAAGTTTAGGTGTGTTTACGCTATCCTGATAATCTCATTCCAAGAGATTCAAGAACTTTTGTTTCGAATTCTCTTTCGGATGCAGTAGAGTTAATTCAATCAGTCTTTAATGGAATTTCCAAATCCAATGGTATCCGGTTACGAACTTCTGGAAAACTTTTAGAAGCTTTAGATGAGTTTGAAGTAATACATTATGTGGTAATGAACTAAACTTATTAGAAGAAAAATAAAGACATTTCAATAAAGAAGTTCAACAAAAATATTATTGATATGAGAAATTAAATTGTAATTTAATAGTCAAATTCATGAGTCGACTTAAGCTAGACCACCATTGAAAACCTGGAAGCACTGGATGGCCGTTTTGTCCTAGTATAGAACTCCTCAGAAGTGCGAATCCACGATCCCGCACGCGGGACTCGAACTCAGGACTTTCGGTCTCGCGCGTGAACACTTAACCTCTGGACCATTGGGCCGACATCTAACGGTGTTAATATCTAACTTCAACCGATCCACGATATTGCGCGACCGTCCACCATTGTCTTCAGTGAGTCACTGCCTCGCAACAGACACGGTTGGACTCCATTGATCACAGCTTCTCACTAGAACTCCTGGAAATACATCTCCCAGGTTACTAGTGGTGGTCTAGCTTAAATGGACTCATGAATTCAACTATTAACTTCCTACAATCTCCACAAACCTCATTCTGAAAATTGAATTGTCTTTATTTTTCTTCAAATGACAATTTTTTCGTATTATAAGTAATTTATTCTGGTTTTAGAGAATGGTTTCCCTTCCCATGTTAAATAACCACTTATTCTTACGTTGTATATCTTTTCAATTACTTCTTAATTTCAAAAACTGTTGATAAGCTCGTATTCATAATCATTTGTAAGAGGAGGTTTTTGCGTTTTGATTGACGAAATATTGACCGTCAAAATCAATGTGTAAAGTGCTAATCAATAGATAAATTCAGTGATATAGTGTAAGCGAGTAATAGCTACTCATAAGACCGCATACTTGACTCACACCCTCAAATGAATAGAAACCAAAGAAAGGACCAATAGCCATATGAGTAGCTTTTTTATGTAATACGATAAATGCTTATATAAAGAGGATGAATATAAAATAAATATAACAATATACCATAAGCGATTTCAGGAAATTAGCGTGTAAGTAAATCATTCTCTAATCAATTGAGATCTGATTGTCAGGTGTAATCTCTGAGCATCGTATCAGTTTCCAACCATTTAGGTTATTAGGTATCATTACCAAGCTTTGATTTGATAATTTCAAATAAATTGAGCATTGGGTAGATTGTTATAAATAAACAATATATTTGTAATATCCCAATGAGTAGAAAATTAGATTTTCTGACGTTTCGTGACTTAGTGTAGGTCACTTCTTCAAAGAATAAATAACCAAATTAAAATTAATCCATGTTTAAATAGTGCAACGGAAAAATGATTGTTCCGTTGCACTATTTAAACATGGATTAATTTTAATTTGGTTATTTATTCTTTGAAGAAGTGACTTACACTAAGTCACGAAACGTCAGAAAATCTAATTTTCTACTCATTGGGATATTACAAATATATTATTTATTTACATTTAGGTTAGTATTAACATATCTAAAAATGTAATTCATTTATCGAATACGAGTTTGCCTATTCGACTTTAAGCTACATTCCATTTTGATTTAAGTCGTAATAAGTTCATATCATGAAGTTCATTATAAATAATACCTAAACTTAGTCTACATTAAAATATGTGAGTTTAATGAACCGAGCCTATATTCTAGTTTTTACATATATATATTTTTATTATATTGGGGAAATTATGGTAACGCATGCTTTACCTTGTTCGTAATCTGTTTAGTATCACAGTTTCTCAGTCTTAGAACACTATTTTTTAGTGTACAAAATTTAATACTGATAACTCACTCATTGGTGAAGAGAGCCATTCGAACCCGTGAAACAATAGGTGATCATGTATTTACATCACTAGATCATAGCTTCATTTGAGACATGATTGGTGAAAAATATCGAATTGATTAATATGCAGATGAATAAAAATAAACGTACAATAGTCCAAATGTTAGTGGTTTTTAAGAAAGATAAATGTAGTAATAAACTGCTAGTTTTATGCAGCCAACGTAGAACATAGACTTTAGTTGCTATCTTGACGTGGTGGTCGGGCTTACCTATCGTGGTGACCCAACCGATTAATTTTATCTCGAACACATGTTCCCTTAGGTTCTATCATCCTAAGAAAGTCGGTTGGAGAACGGTAAGCAACTTTAGATCTGAGTGTGAAGCCATAACTCTGACTGTAGAGGGGTGTAATAGCATTAAGGCGTTTCAATTACGGCGAGCTGTCGTCGGAATTGGTTACTTCAAGTGGTTGTCCACTTTCCTCATTTTTATTTAACTTTGTCATGGACATACTTTTAGAGATAACACTTTCATCATCTGACTTCTCAGGGATTAATCTTCCGGCAGATTCACTTGTTGACTTAAAATACACGGACGATATAGTTCTGTTTGGTGAAGACGCTAACAAAATGCAGTCCTCTGACCACTTTAAGCAACAATGCAAGCATGTTTGGGATGCGGCTATCTCCCTCGAAATGCAAGACTTTGTTTCAGGATTGGCGTGTTCCATCGCCTGATGTAAGAATAGGTAGTGAACGCATCTACCGCTTCACTTATCTTGAGGGTCTCGTCAGTACTGATGGTTCGGTGTCTGACAAGACCTCGGCACCGATCCAGATGGCTCGATTGGTTTTCACTAACTTACATCACTTGTGGAGTAGGCGAGATATCCGTCTGACAACCAAAGGGTGAGTTCAGTATGTAGCAGTTTGTTTCGTTCTACTTTATTGGTTTGAAAATGGCCATTAAGAACAGAGAATATCCGTAGGTTACTGGTATTCGAGGCATTGATCGTGTATTTTGGGACCAGTGCCTGGGTTGAGAATAGATTACTAGGTAAAGCTGGGAAATCGACTGAAGATGTAGCAAATCTTTATGAACTGAGGTGGTTGGGATATGTGTTACTTATGCCCAACTATAACGGCTATCTTGACGGGTGATATTTTCTGGTGTAAGCGTGTGCCGGAAGAAAGCTACGGACGACCAAACCAAAACATGGCATCAGTTCATGAAGTCACTGACAATAGGATTTAACCATGTTCATAGTTGTAGACTATTTGGTTGGGGTCCGCGTGATTATCGTAACCAATGTTTAGGGACTTTGATATGGCTCAAATCGTTTGCAATAACGCACATGCATTTATTCTTTGTCTTCCCCCAATTTCCGAGATTCTAGATTCCTCATATTTTTTTCGTTTTCATTTCACTAATTCATATTTTCTTTTCGAATCGTATTTTCGATGACTAATCTTTCCTTTTAACAATGAGACTGTTACTACTTCTACTATTTTAAGATTTGGCCTGATAACTTTATTTTTCTGAGTGTGGCAACTTGAGCCGATGTACATACGTACCGACTGAGCATACAGAATAAATATAATACATTACAGCAACAGCTTTAAAACATCGTTTTTTTCTTGCCCGGCAAATCGTATCACTTCTAAAGCCATAATCTATCATTCTGTTTACTACTATTTAATATTCAAATCCAATGTTATGTTTTATCGTAATTTATAAAAACGTCAACCTATTCTTTTTGTCTAGAGACTAAACAAGTGAAGATATGAGATCCTATTGGGTTTTATATAACTTATGACTATAATGAATCAATTTTTCTGTTTGATTAAGACACTTATTTATCTCGATTCTAGTTCTGTTTGTTTATTTTTTTAAAAGAAAAATTTCATAAAATAAATTATCACCATTATTTATGTTTTTTAGAATAGTCTATTTACTAATCCGGATCGAAAATCGACTGTACACATACAAGAGCATATTCAGTTTTCGTTGAACGGACTATTGTCATCAGTTTATAAGTTGGTGGATTCATCGAAATTAAATTCAAAACGACGTTCTGCTATTGATGAGTATTGTACTCAGCTTAAAAATATTACACCTGAATTAATATCAGAATATTCTAAGAAAGTAAGTATTAGTTGTTAAATCAACCTTTAATAATTGTGTTTGATACAGAGTGTAAACATCCACAGAATATCTTACTTACTTACTTACGCCTGTTACTCCCAATGGAGCATAGGCCGCTGACCAGCATTCTCCAACCCACTCTGTCCTGGGCCTTCTTTTCTAGTTCCATCCAATTCTTGTTCATTTTTCTCATGTCTATCTCCATTTCTCGGCGTAATGTGTTCTTTGGTCTTCCTCTTTTCCTTTGGCCTTCAGGATTCCATGTGAGGGCTTGTCTTGTGACGCAGTTGGGTGCTTTCCTCAATGTGTGTCCTATCCACTTCCAGCGCTTCTTCCTGATTTCTTCCTCCGCTGGGATCTGGTTTGTTCTCTCCCACAGTACGTTGTTGCTAATAGTGTCCGGCCAACGGATCTGAAGTATTTTGCGTAGACAACTGTTAATAAACACCTGTATTTTCTGGATGATGGCTTTCGTAGTTCTCCAGGTTTCTGCCCCATACAGTAGAACTGTCTTGACATTTGTATTGAAAATCCTGACCTTGGTGTTGGTTGACAGTTGCTTTGAGTTCCAGATGTTCCTCAGTTGTAAATATGCTGCTCTTGCTTTGCCGATCCGCGCCTTCACATCTGCATCAGATCCACCCTGTTCATCAATGATGCTGCCCAAATACGTAAAGGTTTTTACATCTTCCAAATCTTCTCCGTCAATTGTGATTGGATTGGTGCATTCTGTGTTGTATCGGAGAATCCTGCTTTTCCCTTTGTGTATATTGAGACCTACTGCTGCTGAGGCTGCTGCCACACTGTCGTCTTCTCCTGCATCTGTTGTTGCGTTTGGGATAGAAGGGCCAGATCATCTGCGAAGTCTAGATCGTCCAACTGCATTCTAGATGTCCATTGTATCCCGTGCTTCCCTTCAGACGTTGACGTCTTCATGATCCAGTCGATCACCAGGAGAAAGAGAAAGGGTGAGAGTAAGCAACCTTGCCTAACACCGGTCTTCACTTCGAACGACTTTGTCAACTGTCCTCCATGCACAATTTTGCAGTGTAATCCATCATATGAATTCTGTATGATATTGACTATCTTCTGAGGCACGCCGTAGTGTCGAAGAAGTTTCCATAGTGTTGTTCTGTCCACGCTATCAAATGCCTTTTCGTAGTCAATGAAGTTGATGTAGAGTGATGAATTCCATTCAATTGATTGTTCCACAATGATCCGTAGAGTTGCGATTTGGTCTGTACACGATCTATCCTTACGGAATCCTGCCTGTTGGTCACGAAGTTGGGCGTCTACGCAGTCCTTCATCCTGTTTAACAATACCCTGTTGAAGACTTTTCCCGGTATTGAGAGAAGAGTGATGCCCCTGTAGTTATCACACTTGCTGAGATCGCCTTTCTTCGGTATTTTGATCAGAAGTCCTTCTTTCCAGTCTTTGGTACTTGTTCCTCATCCCAAATCTTATTGAAGAGAATGTGGAGTATCCTTGCAGTTGCCGCTACGTCTGCTTTTAGTGCCTCTGCTGGATGTTGTCCGGTCCTGCTGCTTTGCCACTCTTGATTTGTCTGATGGCCATGCTGATTTCTTCAATTGTTGGTGGGCCAACATTGATTGGGAGGTCCGTGGGTGCTGCTTCGATGTTGGGTGGGTTCAGTGGAGCTGGTCGATTCAAGAGTTCTTTGAAGTGTTCTACCCACCTGTTTTGTTGCTCTTCAATGTTGGTGATTACCTCGCCTTCCTTGCTTTTCACTGGTCGTTCTGGTTTGCGGCGATTTCCAGAGAGTTTCTTTGTCGTGTCATACAATTGTCTCATGTTTCCTTCTCTTGCAGCCTTTTCCGCCGTCGTTGCTAAATCTTCCACATATTTACGTTTGTCGGTTCTGATGCTCCTCTTCACTTGTTTGTTTACTTCTGTGTATTCAGCTTGTGCCTTGGCTTTTTCTGCTCTTGTTCGACTGGTATTGATTGCTGCCTTCTTGTTCCTTCTTTCTTGAATCTTATCCAGTGTATCAACAGTGATCCATTCCTTGTGATGGTGCTTCTTGTGACCCAGGACCTCATGACATGTTGAAGTGATTGCCTCTTTGATCCCCTTCCAGTTGCTCTCCACAGTAGTTCCTTCTCCATTGAGTAGATCATGAAAGGCCTGGAACTTGTTGCTGAGGACTATCTTGAATTTGTTGAGTTTGTTAGTATCCTGAAGAAAGGCCGTATTGAACTTTTGTGATATTGTCCGCCCCGTTGTCCAGTGCTTCTTGAGTTTCAATTTCATCTTGGCGACCAGCAAGTGATGATCTGATGCTATATCAGCTCCTCTCTTGGTTCTCACGTCCTCTATAGTCCTCCTGAACGTTTTGTTGATGCAAATATGGTCGATTTGGTTTTGTGTATAGTGATCCGGTGAAGTCCATGTGGTTTTGTGTATGCGTTTATGTGGGAATATGGTGCCGCCTATGACCAGCTTATTGAAGGCACATAGATTTGCAAATCTCTCACCATTTTCGTTTCTTTCTCCCAGTCCGTGTCGTCCCATGATGTCTTCATATCCAGTGTTGTCCGTTCCAACCTTGGCGTTGAAATCTCCCATCAGAATGGTCAGGTCCTTTGTTGGGCACTTCTCGACGATTGACTGCAGCCTATTGTAGAATTGATCTTTAGCGTCTTCATTGTAGTCGTTGGTAGGCGCATAGCATTGGATGATGTTCATTGAAATGCCCTCTTTCTTTGTTTTGAACGAGGCTTTGATGATCCTTGGTCCATGAGATTCCCATCCTATAAGCGCATTTTGCGCTTGTTTGGACAGCATCAATGCAACTCCTTGTGTATGTGGTGCATTTTCTTCTTCATGGCCGGAGTATAACAGGAGCTCTCCTGTAGTTAGTCGTTGTTGTCCAACTTGTGTCCAATGTGTTTCACTGATCCCAAGTACCTCTAGGTTGTATCTTCTCATTTCTGCAGCAATTTGGAAGGCTCTCCGGTGTCCCACATTGTACGAACATTCCATGTACCTAAATAAATGGTCGCTCTGGTTGTCAGAAGGGGCATCGGCCTCGTAACTTCCGAAGGAATTCGGCTTTCATCATGAGGCGTCATAATTCTTCTAAATGAAGACCTTCTGACTCCCAGGGCAGAGTTTAAAAGGTTTGAATAATTTTTTCTGGTTAGCGTTTTTTTAGCGAGTTAGTTTTCTACGGGATGGGGACGCTAACCCCATGCCCAACCCTCCTCCTTTATCCGGGCTTGGGACCGGCAGTAGCCCCCGGAGGGACTCCAGGCGGAGTTCCACAGAATATCAGTCGTACTTATTTTAAAATTTAAAATACTCAGTTATTATAAATAAGAATCGGGCAAGAATTCGTGTTGATTTATGTCGTCACAACTCATATCAGTGCAGTGATAGACATAATAAACACGATGGGAAGTAGATAAGAGAAATTCATTTAAACTATAATGAAAACCTTAACATGATTAATACTGTTGCAAAAGGAAAAAAATTGACCAAAGAGTGAAAAGTTGGGAAATTACAATTTGAAGGACTATAAACAAGAAATGTTAAGGAATCATTAAAGCCAATCGTATGATCCATACAATCTGTTGAGAAAAATAGCTAGTCATGATTTGACTTCGTGTTAAATAACACAATATCTGTTTGTTTTGGTGAGATTATCCATTTGCCGGATTTAATAAGCTAGAAGAAAATTAGGGCCATCCAAACCAATATGTCATATCACTTCATGGAGTAATTGGCTGTTGGACGAAGCTGTGTAGACAGGTACAGACTACTTGGATTCTAATCCATGCGATTGTCGTAATCAATGTTTCAAGATGTTTGGATACCTGAGAATCGGCCACAGCTTGACAGATGCGTTCACCCTCGTGCTAAAGTACTTATTTTTAAACAAAACAGAATTAAAGGTCATTACAAAATAACTAACATCCTTCAAAATGCTTTAGTTCACATAAAGGAAAAAATCATCTTTATGTCAACATAGAATTGTGTCTACAAATTAGAATATGTCGATTATGATGCCTTCTATATTGGACAGTCATCTCGTGAAATCTTGACTCGAGCCAAAGAACACCCTATTTACACAGGAACCCACCTAATAATCCTTTAAAACTTGAAAAACTCCAAATTAAATCGGCAATAGCAGTCCGTGCCATTTTCAGCAACCATCAAGTCGATATTAAAAATATCAAAATAATGCTAAAAGACTTTTCCAACTACAAAGACAGGGGATCAGCTGAAGCTTCCCATATATTGCTTAATCCTACTGCCCTCAATAATAAAGAAGGCCTGACTATCCATCCAACTTGGATCATCTATCCGAACTACTATATCTGATTCTATTCACATCTCACACCATCATCACAAATATAAAGTCAACTCTATCTTTCCACATTACAAATATCATATTTTTTACATCGATTAACATACATACAAATACATAAGTGTGTCTCATAGAAATCACTTAGATGAGAGTGAGATGACATTGACTTGATCAGACCTGTTTTTGATTGATTAATTAATTGATTGATTGTACTAAATATTCTTGCTTTACTCCTTTGTACCATTTAAGCTTGGATTAATTTGATTTATTTATTTATTCTTTGAAGTGTTAATAACTTGAATTTTTCCACTCATTAAGATATTACAAATATGTTATTTTTATTAGTAAAATACAGTTTTTCTTCGAGTTCATTCTTTTCGAATCGTATTGTCTATTTGTATTGTGTATGCTTAATTTTTTTCTCTCTCTACTGATCATATTACTATTTGTACTACTTTAATACTTATCTTGTTAATTTAATCTCTTGTATGCTGATATCCTATGGCAACTTGAATCAATGCAGTTATGTCTCAAATTATATGTTGCTTATGTTTGTAACTGAATATTTGTACGAGAAGAAAAAAAGAGGTTTACTTCTGTTTAGCTTACTTTAAGTAGATTAATAAAATTTATAGTCTTTTACTTCAATTTTTTGATTTCATAAAGTTAACTAGAAATTTGTAAAGTTTACAATTATCTCAAAATATATATCCAACACCTATTAAAACTGAGTTATTAATATCAAAAGGCTTTACTTGTATGTCTTGTATGAATGGGAATTCAGTTACGAATAGCCTATCTTTTTTTTTCTTTGTAGTGATCATCTAGTTTGATTCATAACAAGTAGCAAAGATGACTGTATTTAGGAACACTTTAAATCATTGTAATGAATCTTCTCTCTAAGTATTTTGTATCTAAGTTATGCAGTTTTATTTGCTCACTAGTAATTAGTTTGAAGATAATTTTACCTGTGTAATCAGATTAATTGTAGGTGAAGTAGTAACTCTTCTATGATTTTAAATTAGTATCATACTATACGCATTGTAAGTTAACCAAAAGTTATCACGTCTACCATGTAATTCCTAATCAGTGGTCAAACTTAATCATTCATGCTCTCCATGAAATGTTTATTCAATCTTCTATGTGGTTTTAGATGCATATTACTAAAGGGATACTCTTAAAACTAGAATAAAACAGATATCCTCCAATACTCCATATTTTTCAATAATTCTATTGTTGATCTCAACTCAATGAAATTCAACTTTTGTTCTATTTCTACTCATATTTCAATTGTTTCTACAGTTGTATATAAGATTAGCAATAGGTAGTCATAAATCCTCACATATTACATAGTTTGTAGATAATCAGTTGGTATTCGTAAGTTTTCATGTTAGTTGACACTCATCAGAAAGATATGGTGTTTTCAGTTTTAAAGGAACTATTGAATTCTTATATATTTTGGACCAGTATCATTCGCGTAACATCAAATGAATTACATCGATATTCTAAGTCATTTTGTATAGTGTTATTGAATTGCAAATTAGTCTATAGTATTCGATTAATATTACAAGAACTAGATAAAATGATATTCATCCCTATTCAGTTTGTTTGTAAACTTCACAGTCAAAATTGAAGCTCAACACCACCAAGAATGAAATTCAAAATTGTCCTGATCAATATTTGACATCAATTGATAAAGTCAATTAGTGTTTAACCTTAAGTCATGTAAGGCAGTTCATGCTACCTGGTTTAGCGTTCAAACAATAATCACTCTGCTTTAAGGCTTGATGTAATATACTTTAAAATTGCTCTCAATATCCTAAATTTATTCGTTATATTCTGCTAGATCTCTTTTATTCCTTCTTTTCAAACTGTACTCTCCACATCTAATCTTTACCGATGTAGAATGTAAGGCAATTTTGAATCAATGGAAATCTGTGCCACATGATCTTACACTTTCTATGACTAACAACATCTTTACTAATGATGTAGAATATTTAAAGTTCAGGATCAGAATTTTGAAAAATGTTTTATTTTCTGAGTTGAATGGTTTATTCGTACAGTTTTTGTTTTTTCATAAGTGCATACTTTTGCTGATGATGTTGTTTAAACAGACAATGAGAACTATACAAATTATTCGTAATAAAGTGTTTGGTAATTGGAAGACAATGAAAACTGCCTGAATGAACCAATTAGTTCAATGAAAATATCTTTGATAAAACAATTATGTAACATAGTACATCTAGTGATATTCTTATGGCATCGCATTAAAGCTTTAAAATGCCATGGTACGGCTGGCCCCCAAATGCCCTGGTACGGCCGAGAGTGGGGAGAGTCCGCTCTCCCTCTCGAAATGCTCTCACATGGCCACGCGTATATAGCCTCTGCCAGGGAAGTCCTATTCACTGCCTTCTCGTGGCGGGGGTGTTTACGAAATTGAGAGGACGAAAAGCGAATGTCCGGCGCTTTAAGCGGATTCCAAACCAATGGTGCACATGGGCTCCAGTATCCTGCGGGAACAAATGGCGTATGAACCAATCTTTGGTCATCGGCTTCCATGGGACTGCACCTCCTTACAATGCTCCACTGCCTTTTGGATCAGATCTTCAGGTCGAAGGCTCGGGGAGTAGCCCCCTAAGAAAACCACCTGCTTTGGTTTGGGCACCCGGGCAGTATCACAGCCCTCACACATATCGAATGAGATTTATGTGGCGCATATGTATTTGGTGCCTCCTTGTACCAATATCTATGTGTTAAAATAATAATAATAATAATGATTTAAAATGTACTTTTATGTAGGTCGAGATTTGTTTTACATTTCTCATTATTATTATTATAATTATAATTATTATTATTATTACCATTATTAATTAAATGATAATTATTTATTTAGACAGTTGACGTTAGAGCAACAGAGAAAATTATACAGAAATTATTAAAAATTATCAATTCATTGAAACAGCTACTTATTCGTTGTGCTATTGATTCAACATCAAATGCTTTTATGGCTAAAGAAACTTGTTTAATGGCATTGAATGATGCAACAAAATTTGGATGTGATCAACGCATTGATGCAGCTTGTCAATTATTTCAGGTGATAATTTAATTAAAGTTTATTGTAATTATTTTTCAAGTAATTAATATTAAATTATTCATTTGCAATTTATCATAATGTAATTGACTTTTTACTATTTGATGTCTTGTCTTGTGTTGCTGAATCGATACCTATATAGTAGTTAAAATATTCTGTTTTCATTTGGTAAGTCATACATTCAAACTATGCTAACTAATCACGTACTTCAATTCGTTCACTCACATGGCCACGTGCATACAACCACTGCTAGGGAAGTCCTACTCATTGCCTTCTTGCTGCAGGATGTTGTTTACGAAATTGAAAGGACAAAGGCGAATGTCGGGTGCTTTAACCGGGTTGGTGGATATAAATGATCAACCTAGGGGAGTTGGAAAACCATGATTCCAAACCAATGATGCACATTGACTCCAGGATCCTGAAGAAACAAATGGCGTATGAACCAATCTTTGGTCACCGGTTACCACGAGACTGCGTCTCCTGACGTTGCTCTATTACCTTGTGGATCAGACCTTTAGGTCGAAGGCTCCGGGTGTGGTCTCCTAAGAAAACCACCTGTTTCGGTTTGGGCACCTGGGCAGTATCTCAGCACTCACACAAATCGAATGATTTATGTGGCGCATATGTATTTGGTGCCTCCTTTTACCAATATTTATGTGTTTAAATAAATAAATAATCACTCAGATAGAGTATAAGGGACCTTGTACATGCAATGAGACTCAAAACTGTACTTAATTACATTATATTTAGTGAGTATTGTATTGTTTATACTTGGTTTTGCAAAAATTAAAATATTGTTGTTAACAAAGTTGTTTGAAGAGATGTGATTATTAGTAGTACTGGTTTTGTCGACAATACAGTAATGACTTAATTAATGGTGATTAAAGCAATCAATTCTTAATTAATAAGTTATAGGTTCAAATTCCCAGTCCATCTACTTTGAACTGAACAATTACTATTGATCTCATATAAAGTATAACTCGAGGTCGTATATACAAATATGTACAGAGTTACTGAGTTATATAAAAAAGTTTTCAGAGGAAAAGAATGGTAAATATTGCTTAAAAGGTCACCTTTACAACTATAAAGTAAATAGTTGAGTGTTGCACAAACAGCATACTCTCCCTTCAATAAAAAATTGATATTTTGCCTACACCATAGTTGAGTACACGTTGGTAATGGTCAGATGGGTTTTTTTTTGAATTCGTGTCAATATTTTGCTAGTCACCAACTCACTAAAAATACCAAATCTCTTTCCATCATCTTACTATTCCTACTATTAAATTGAATGTGTAAAGGACAATCTTTCAACTTTTCTTTTCTGAGTAGGAAATGTAAACTAGAAAAGTATATATAACTAAATTATCATATTTCATATCTCCTATTTTTATTGTTTGTTTAAACATATGAATGTGATTGTGCCAACTGCTGATAACTTGTTTTTTCGAATTATCCGATGATCAATTATTGTCAGTGTTTCAATGTTCAAAATAACTAATAATTAACTAGAATTAGTGTAACTTATCTACTTAGTACCGATTTATGTACACTGAACTTTGAGTTGTTTTACAGTTTGTATTGTTTCTGATAGTGTTGTCATACTAATACTTACTACTACTGTGTCAACAGACATAAGTAGCATGTAACACCAATGAAAAGGGGAAAACCGGGCAGCCGAAGACTAAGACGATCGGTTTGAAGAGAATAGAATGGAAAATCGAAATGAATTGTGAGCTTGAAGAATCATAGGGAATGTCATGGGCAAGTGATGTAGATTTGCAAGTGAACTATTCGGTGTATGACTTTTATATTTTACCAATGTACTCTCATTTTGTATTAAAATGTATTGGTTGTCCGCACCTGTGTTTTCAACACTATTACTACTCTGCTCTTATCCTCCTCTCAAAAATGACGTAATTAGAACGATGAAATTCCATTCTACAGCTTATAATTCTTTAATACTCCATGAAACCTTAAAGAAATTCTAAATTTTTCATCTTAACTTTTAGTTTATTCCTCTATACGTTATTTTTTTCCACATTCAGAAGCGTTCTGTATCTATGATATCATCTGCTTATCAGTTATGTTCATTGAGTACAGATGAAGAATGTTGCAGCAAAATCCAATTAGCGTGTCAACAAATTGAACAACTTGTTCCACAGTTAATTAATATAGCTTATTTATTATTTAAATATCCATCTTCTAAGGTAAATTGTATAATTTTACTCATTTGTCAATATTTTTTTTAAAATAAAAGATTGTAATTATTAGCGTAACATAGATTAGATTAGAGCATATTCCGCGCAGGATTTTGTCGAGGCACTCTGATTGGCTGCTTCTTAACCAATCAGCGCTAGCAGATACTTGGAGCAGACTTTAGAATCTTCTTATGTAAAAATTATTATGATTCCTTATTTAGAATATAATTACGTTGCTGTTCAACCGTGTTCTGATTTGGGGACTTGTCGAGTAAACTGAAGTGTCCAAAAAATACTCAGCAATAATAGTAGCTGAGTGGTAATACGAGAGATCATAACAGTAATGTAGATTAAAGCTAAATTGATTGTAATTATTTAGAATTAATAAATTATTAGTCTGTTAATGGATGAGTCCACTGTTCTGTTCATTAACTATGCTAACGTTGATTGATCCACACCATTTCTTGTCCAGTTAGAACATGAAAAAAGACAGCTAACATATTCTGTTTATATTATGGCTTAAAATTCACATAATGATAATAGAAATGAATTACAGGATCAAATGTACAATACAATCAATGTACACCACAATTTGTACATAACTAAGAGGATATTTTGTAGTAAAATACTGAGTAATAAATATTTAATTAATTTACTGTAATTTACTGAACGGTAAGAGATAATATCAACAGTTATTAAGTTAAATGAAAGCTAAACAGTCAGAGCAATATAAAAATACTGTAAACCAAATATTTACTAAATGCATAATGGAAAAATGTGTAGAATCATAATAATAATTCACCGAAGAAAAGTTCTCAAAATTTCACCTTCATTCACTCATGTCTAACTAGCTAGATTAATGTGTATCATTAGTTTATCATCTAGTAATTGGTATATCACAAAATACAAAACGCGGATTACGTAATAAACCTGTGATTAGTTACTACTTTTTTGTATCAAAAATAGTTATTTATTATGCTCAGGTTAATTTGATCTCAAATTTTACCAGTAACATTTTTGTTCATTTTTATATTTTAAATCGAGATCATGAACTGATCAATGTAAGACCACCATTAAAAACCTGGATGCCCTGGACGGTCGTTTCGTCCTAGTTCAGGACTCTTCAGCAGCCCAGTCCTTCCAGGTTTTCAATGGTGGCCTAATATTGATCAGTTCATGATCTCAATTAAAATTCAACAATCTTCACAACCCTATACATTTTTACATTTGTTTTCTTGTTTGTTTTAGTCTGTTGAATTAAATTATGAAGCATTTCGTAAGGTATATGAAGAATCGGTCAACTTACTGTATTCATGTGTTAATGAGTTAGTTGGTATGCATGATTTCTTAGCTGTATCCGATGATTTAATGTTGTTGGAATATCAAAAATCTATTCGTGCTTTATCGGTATGTAGTTTTAATTCTGTTTATATTTTCCTTTTCCTTTAAAAAAGCTGTTGCTGTACGTATTTGATTTTGAATTGTCGGATTATTGATAGTTATTTGAGTAGAAATATGGATTAAGATCTTAAAAAGAAACTGATTTTTTGACTTTTTCTGCTACCACTCAATGGTTTGTCTGTCTCGATGGCTCAATCTCGTTATATGTTAGCCAAAATATTCGTTCTTTAAGGTCCCATCATATTAGGCAGACAGATGTAGTTAGATGCCGTAAGAAGATTCTATTGTTGGCTGTACCGGGTTGCATGGTGGAAGTAATGGGTTTCCTGTTAAAAAGCAGTATAGCCGGAGGTACTTCCCTACCCTATTACTTGAGAAGAGATTGGACGAGATCAATCTGAAAAATAACATCCTTTTTTGGATCACGATATAGGCGGTTAGGCTTGAAAAGTACAGAGCTTGTTGGACAAATACAAAATACTAACAAATGTGACTCTTGCTACTGGGCTCAAGGAGTTATCTTTTGATTCTTATTGTGGTTGTACTTTCAATTCGATAAGATCTTTAATACTTATCCAGATTTTTTAAGCGAGTTTCTTAGAACAAAGTATTCTTTCACGAATGTAAATGACAACTGATGGAAGATGTGCAAATTAAGTATTTAATGCATGGTTTTCATAATTTATGGAGACACTGTAGTTTCGCACTAAATGATAAATTTTCTTCATCTGTGTTCGTTCACTGCATATATCCTTACATGTACATTCAGTGGATCCGGAAAATTTTTCATCTAGTCTCTGAATAGTTTATTATCGGCAATGGAAATGAATTATCATCCAACTGATTGGTTTGTAATGATTTATCTGGCATAAACTGACACCATCTGAAAATTAGTTTCATCACGCTCTGCTAACGTAGTATAGCAACTTAGGCTGATATACATTTGTACTGTTCTACTTTACTTACGTTTGACTGAACGACACATCTGATGAACCATTGAAAAAATATGAACCACTGGACACCTGTTTCCTATTTTAAAACTTTGTCCCAGTGTACACTTATCAATCCATACTGTTTCAAACACAAAACCTTTAAATCTCACACTAAGCACGATATCTTTAGAATTCACCTAATCAGTGATCAAGTATTCCAAATTTTCTGTTCCAGTCAGTTCATGTCATGAGGACGATGTACCAAGTAAACCGGACAAATACATATGCTGATAAAAGGCTTCATGGTAGGAATTCTATTTTGAATGAATGAATTATTCATCTTGTCATGGCACATCTTCCAACGCAATCTTGATTTGGTCACTCAACGCATTAGGGAGAGGGTGCTGGTCAAACCATAAATAACTGAATTAAATCATAGAACACAACATATAACGTGAATTCTAATATTATTACAGTTATTCAATAATAAGTTGAATAATATATGTAATGTAACTGGTTTATAAGTTTGTTCGAGTTTTACATATTCAGTGGATAACTCATTCATTAATTAATCAGATTTGAGTTATTGTATTTGTATGGAACCTCGTAATATTCGTTGGCTGCTCAAATCGAAGTAGGTGGAGCGAATTTCGAAGCTGGAACGTATCGGTTGAATCGCCACGTGTTAATCAATATATATGTATATCATAAATTAGAACGATCATTCTTCTCTAAACTGTGGATTTTTCTCAAGAAAAACTATCCCAATTACTTACGTTTTTACCTGTTTCAATGATTTAACTAATCTGAAATAAATCTACAATAGGTTGGCCCAGCTGTTTTTTTAAAGAATTAAACTATATAAACAGTTATTTGTTCAAAATAATCAGTGATTCTTGATCATAACAGTTATCAGTGTTGCTACTTGTTTGTGTGTGCTTGTGTAAATTAACTGAGTTCAGGACATCTCATTAACCTTGCTTATAATCGAATCAGATGGTAAATCATTTTTATGAGTATTTACGAGATTCCATTATAGAGGTAGGTAATAAAACTTTCACAGTAAGCAATAATTATTTATTTATTATAGTTTGCAGAGTGACAGTTTATTTGTTAGGGTATTCAGTTTTTAACCACCAAGTCTCAAGTTCGAACACCTTTCCATCTACTTCAGTTTAGGCTGAAGGGTAGTAACACCAACTTCTTATACTTAAAATACAACTCTGAGCCAAGTAAGCGAGTCTGCACCTGGTCTGACTGTAGTTTCCGATTTGACTTAGTGTTTGATCTCGCATATTATGATAACCCAATAATAATATTTTGGCTGGGACACTTGTTCTTTTTGGTCGTAACATGTCTCTAAGGTCGATTAGAGAATGATAAGTCTAAAAGCAATTTGCTCAAGGTCCAAGAACAAAGTTTTACTGCTGACTGTAATGGAATGTGGTAACACAAAGGTGTATCTCTCAGGAAACCAAGATCTACAGTGATGCTGCCTTCTTATGACGGAAAAAAACGTGTTAGTAAAGGTCGACCGTGAAAATGATACACCTTTTTTTGTCCCACGGATTTCCATCAATGACAGAGTCTTTCAAAGTACAGAGATAGCACATCATTTATATGACCTTATCTTCAAGTAGTTATCGATTGTGTCCTACAATTACTCTTTTAGATCTTCAAAATCATTACTAATCCAATATTTTTTTCATTTACCTCCATAGTATATGAGTAACTGAAAAATCGCTACCATCCACACGACTCTAACAGGACTATTCTGTACATAGTAAATAAGTTAAATTATTTTCAAGTATAATTCAAACTCTAATTTGTAATTTTTTCATTGTCTTCTTTTTTTTTTAACAAAAACAAACAAACAAACAATTTATAGGATAAAGATGAATTAAGCGTTCAACAAACATCAACATCAATGCAACAACGTTCAGCTTATATTTGTGAAGTAATATTAAATAAAATGATTGCACGAACTGAGAACAATGAGTATGTTGATCAGGTGATGGAAAAAGTTACATTAATACGTGATCAAGTATGTTAAATAATTAGTAGAAGGAAATATTACACCTATATTTGATTGTTAAAATTAGAATTTATTGTTATGGTTATATTTCATTCTGGTATGATTTATTATTAATAGTTCTTGTTTATAATGTTATCAGAGTTCAGAGCTCATGAATTTAGGTATAACGATAAAGTCTACTATTGTTAGTTCTTTGAATTAGTATCCAATAGTCTATATTTTCCAATTTCAATCAATTCATAGTATAATACAATAATCATTGATTACCATAATTATGGATAATTGTCTCATTGTTTCGACATGATTGAACTCTTCTACTCTACTAGTGGACCACATTAAGATCCAATCAATAGAACTCGGTTAACACTAAAGGACTAGATGAACATGATACTGGCCAATACTCAGTGATTAATCAATTGTAAATCTCTCAATTATACAGGAAGTCACTGGCGTCTCGTCAAGCTCATTTGTAACGTCTCCGGTTGTGAAACTGGTTAATCCCAGTTCAAATCCACCGGCGAACTTTAATTCCCTCGAGATTGCAGTTATGCCTTGCTAACGAGTTCCAATCAACACAAAGCCTAGGCTCATAGTCATTTGTTGACTTCTTTCTAATAATCTAATCATTCTACTAGTCACAATTTATCACTTAAATTTATCTCAAAGTCAGTCATCAATGAGCAACACATAATTATCAGTTCCAAGGCAATTGAGAGTTGTATGACGATTAGCTTTGATTATAAAGAGTTTTTGTAAGGAAATAGCAGAGTGTGTACGTACAACTTGCTTATTTGTTTCTTTAAGAAAATTGTTGAACTTATCAATAAGTGGACTAGTAGTTGAACAAATCATAAGTTGAAGTGTTCGCGCGCAGGACTGAAGGTTCTGGGTTCGGTTACCGAGTTCAGGATTGTGAATGCATCTGCTAAGGTATCTCATACTAGGATGAAACGGCCGTCCAGTGCTTCCAGGTTTTCATCGGTGGTTTAACTTAGATAAGTTCATTATTTCAGTGAAAGTTAACCGTAACTACAACTCCATACTGAAAATCGCATTTTAGGTATTACAGTCCGAATAGTCAGCGATAAGAAAATCGATAAATCGGAAATAAGTTTATGTTATAAAAAATCAAATTAAATTATAAGTCGTGTGTTACTTGGTTATAAATGAATTATATATTGCAGAATAGATTTCCTAATTCTTTCATTTTCCTTTACTACGGTTAGAACGGCTCGTTTACTACGCGTCGTGGAAGTATTTCTCGATGAATAATTCATGAATATATAGTCCTAGATAAGCACCCAGTGAACAAATACGTAATCAATCAAAATAACTTGCCTCATTTGTATTATTTTAACTAAATCAATAGTATAATGTGGTATTTGAAAAATACAAACGAATTAATGTATGAATACATAGAACATAATATCAGAAACAGGATAGAAACGTGATTAATGATTTGATGAGTTTAATATTCGATCACTTTACTTGTTTTATTTTAATGATCTGGATGTTCTACAATTCATTAGGATAGAGTGAAAATTTAAACAGTTTAAAATCCCAAGCATTATAAGAGTTAGATGGTGGCTGGCAGCAGAATCCAGGGCTCGCGTTTCGTTCTATTTAGGACTTGTCAGATGGTTGTATCTGCTTATAATGTCTGTGACTTAAGGCAATATCGAGGCCATCCCGCACAGGATACACATATGTCAATAAAGGACTGATTAACTACAGTCCTAAACATTAATCGGAAGATTCAAAAACAATCAATATAAAAATGAGTTAAAAATTCATCCATATCAATTCTTCACACAAAAGGCAATAAGATTTGTTCATTTTATAAATAGCTTTATTTTGTAGTGAACGAAGATTTCGTGGGGATAATCCATTTGTTGTTTAATGCAAAATTACAGTGTCTTCGTAAACTATAAAAACTATACATTAAATACTTCATTTGCACGTCTTCCATCAGTTGTCTCTTACAGACTTCATCATTCCTTTATTGCTGTTGTTATTACAATTAATCTCTGTTTACATCAATGTTCTCTCCAATTCTATCTTTTCAACCGTCTGCTGCCAGGTATTCTTCTTTCGACTAGTGTTATATACTACTTATATCTGTCAACATAAGTAGCACACGCCCCAATTTTACATGTGTAGAAATGTTAATTTTTGTTTTTAAGTTTCACTTTTAGTTTATTTAAGATTATTAATATTTTATTTCATCAAGTTTTGTTTTGTATTACTCTTCTTTTTCTCCACATTTCTCGATATAAAAACAAAACAATTCCATAGTATACTCCAGATTTTGTGAATATCGCACGTAATACACTTAGTCGTTTAGCTGCTGGCCAGTCAGTCGATGAGAAAGCCTATCGCTATTCAGGTCATGCTTTATGCAGTGGTGTACATGATCTACGATTAACTGTTTTAAATGAATGTGATCTACCATTTGATAATGATATTGAGTCATTAAATTTACAAGACATTCACGGTAATGTTGATAATCTTCAACCATCGTCGTCTTCTCTACCTCATCTGCCTTCACCTCCTCTCCCTCATAATAATTATTATCATCGTCATCGTGATCAACATTCCAATGACAATGAACAAATAGGAGTTTCAGTCAGTTCAATGAAAGATAAACAGAAATCAATAAGAGAAATGGACAGAGTCAATTCAATGTTAGAAAATAATTCCACTTCTAATTATAACCACAAATCTCGTAAGTATTTACCGCATAAACGATAATGATATAAAATAGAGTTTTATTTTATTTCATTAATGTGAACAAATTTTGTAATTTCTTCCTTTATATAGAGAAAGCTGTGTTCATTCTAATTTTTTTATTGTTCGATTAGATCCATTATGCAAAAAGTTTGTCTTTCTGTTGTTGTTTTTTTTGTCGAGAGTATTTTCTTGTTTACATTTCGATAAACTGTCTTTCATTGTTACTCTCTCTCTCTCTAGATACTACTAATATTATTGTTAATATGATTATTTTTCAGTGAAATTAGTTTTTCATTAAGTTTCATATGACATATTATTAATATGTATATTTGTACATGACAGTAGTTCTTGGTCGGAATTAATGTTATCGACAATTCATTTATTTAATAAAGGTCAATAAATAGAAAAGGAGAGAGACATAGAATAATTTTCAGTGTTATTTGTTATAAATGTTTTTATCTGTTGAAAGATGAATAAATGTGTATAGGTCGCTGGTTGTAACATTACCACAATTCGGTCTTTTTTTCTTCTTCTCTCTCTCTCTTTTGATCATTATCAACTTCAGGTTTTTCAACCGTTTCGTGATTCGTTATCAGATTTAGTCACCGTCATGTTCTTAACGCTTAAATAACTCGTAGTTTAGTGGACGAACATCAAAACTCCACAATAAGTTTTATTTTCAAACGCTGAATAGTAATGTTTACAATTCATGAGTATTCAGAAGTCGTCACATCAACATATTGACCTTAGCTGAATTAATATTTCGCTTATCCATAATAGTCCACTTAAAATTGTATTTGTCTTCCTATGATGCTATATAGGATAGTATAAGATAATATGACCAACTTTTCTCGGCATATTACTTTCCTTTATTGAGGAAAGCAAATCTTCTTCTTAGAATTCTATTGTATGAATATTTTAATGCATCGTAACCTCAAATTGTGTATAGATAAAAGTGATAATGTTTCTTCTGCCATATTATCTCCTTTAAACTTAATGTTTGTAAAGAGGATCCCCTTTGGTGCTATAAATGCTTTCAAAAACACTATACTTAGACAAACAATTGACAGTTTCTATCCATACAGGAGATATTTAGGTGATACTTTCATTATTTATGACAAAAATATAAGTTTCAAGACATTTTAGACAAGTTCAGTAACTGTCACCAATTAATTACATTTCCAATAGAATCAGAGTCGGATTCGAAATTCCACTTCTTCGATATTTTGTTGAAAAGGAAAACTGATGATTCTCTACGAAAATCGATTTACGAGGGTCAGACGAATTTGTACTAATGATGCAATCAACATCGAACTTGATAAACTATGGCTGATACTAATTAACAGTGGAAATTCACCAATATTCGTTGAGGAAAGTTTGAATTCGATACAACAACGTGAAAAGGTATTCATCGCACCAAAGAAGACTTTTTTGTAAACATTCAGTTTAAAAGAGATAATGTGGCGGAAGAAATTCTAACAAAAGTAGACGATCAAAATATTCTATTGATCTGAACTTCATATCGACTTTTCTAATCGGCCTTTCATTCGTAGTTGTGTGATTAAAGTGATGATAATATAAAAAACAAAATGAATACGTTTTATCCACTGTTTGAATTTGGGATCTTAATTCAAAAGTTCAAATCTATCTTTAAGAAGTTGAACTGTATTGTGGTGTATGATACTTTTGTCTGTTGACATAAATAATATGTAATACCAATCGAAAGTGAAAAACCGGGCAGCAGAAGGCTAAGAAGATCGAGTTGAAGGGAATAGAAGGGAAAATAGAAATGAATTGTAAACTGGAAGAATCTTAGACAGTATGACGGACAAATGATGGGAATTTGCAAATGAATTGTTCAATGTATAGTTCTCACATTGTACCAACAGATTCTGTAATTTTGTGTTAAAAATAATTTGGTTGTTCCCATCAATGTTCTCGTTCACAACAGTATCAATCAACTGTAAAGAATAAATACTTTATCTGATTGTTTAACATTCACAATATTATTGTCTTGTTAATAGAAGAATAATAAACTTAAAAATAAAGCCAATCATTAATGAATTCCTAAATTGTAATTTTTAAAACAGTTGAATTCTTATTAGTATAGTTCAATAAAATACTGAAAAGATATTGAACAGAACAATTCTTTGTTTTAACATATTCTTCAATTCTTACAAATCATTACAAAAGTTTCTTTTTAAGCATATATGTTACATGTATCACAGTTTGTGTTGTTATGGTAACGTACTTTTGTCTTAAATCAAAGTGCATAAAAAGAAATAATAATATGACATATTTTAAATGATTCAATGAGGTACATTCAAGAGAACTTTTTAATTGAAGGTCATCAAATGAATTACATTTAAACATATAAGAGTTCAGCTAATATTTATCGTATGTAATGAGAGCTTAGATGGTATTTCATATATCTATTGTCCTAAGTATAAATATAAGAATCACTGTAGCCATTTTACAGACATAGTATGTTTACTCTATCTAAATGTTTTTAGTCAATCTTTTGAAGTATCAAAATCGTTATACAATCGTCGAAACATATATCATTTAACTATTAGAATTCTAAACTTTAAAACCGCTCTCCGTCCACCTTGGTTTAAACTATTGAATACTGTAATAATAAATATATTTTCTTGTTATATCCCAATGAGTAGAAAAATTGTATTTCTGACGTTTCGTGACTTAATGTAAGGCATTTCTTCAGAGGAAATAAATAATCTAGTGGTGTGATTATCTTATAGACTTTAACACAAAATACATGAATAATTGAAGGCCTTATGTGTTTAATTCTCTAGTTAAATTCCAATACTTAATACCTGGAGATTTATTGTGACAAGATATGTTACAGACTAGCAGTATGCAAGTAGGTAGATACATATGTAATAATAATACTAACGATAACAACCGCAAAAATGTAGATAGTGATTTGCATAATAATTTTTAATCCAATTAAAATCAAACAAGGCGAAAAACAAAATCATATGGTGAATATGAAATTACAAGATCATTGAATGCTAACAATTATTAGTAACACCGATACTAATACTACTTGCATGAAAATAAGTAATAAGTTCACATGGTACACAGTTATAAAACGATATCACTTAGCTATCAATCAACTGTTTATTTTAAGAGATAGAGTGGATAAATCATACTTCATTTGTTTTCAATTTATAACCAATGTTATTAAGTTGAACATTTTATTAAAATAATTAAGGTATGATAACTCTAATATCATTAAGAACACTTCCACCTATTAGATCCATCAAATACTCATATACCTTTCTCTATATTTCCTGTTGACTTTGGTTTGAACAGTCTAATTAGTAATACAATAGTCTTTACATCAAATAATTCAGTTCAACGTTGACAGCATGATTGATTGATTCTTCAATGATCTCTTAACTGTTACATATAATAATAAGAAAATTAATGAGGTAAATGCAGTCTGGAATCAATTCTATCTCAAGACCTCATTGTGTACTCAATGAAAAATGTGAACTAAACTGAAAATCAATTTCATTTTTAAACGGTCAGTAACAAAAATATAGAGCTATATTAGGCCTAAGATTCTTTTGAATATCATTCATAATAATTTTTGCGATACCTCAAAACTGTACACAACTAAGAAGCAAAAAAAATTGTAGCACACATTAAACAATTTGTTCACTTTGTTTTGTTTAAATGTGTCCACTTGTTGTAAATCAAATGATCTCCGGGTTAAATGTGGGTAGATAATGTTGCAGTTAATGTGTTTTTGTTACTTAATATACAAGTAGATTAATTCAATCTGCAATGGATACACATTCTACATGTTTGTTTAAATGTGTGTGTGTGTATGTGGATGAGCACACACTTGTGTTTGTGAATGTGTTTAGCCTTCTTGCTGTTTTGTGTAAAATCAACCAAGTTATAGTATCTTTGCCATGGAAATGATATAAGTTTTATAGTTAACTGAATAAATCAACATATTAAGATGTGAAGCAACAACCGTTTTATAATAAAACAATATTTAAGATATTTATCACGTTACACTGTACTTTTGTACTATTGAGAACAATGGAATAGTGAACGTTAAAATCGAAATATTTGATTACAAGCAGAGACGAATGATGGCTAACAGTGGAATCCAGGACGCGCATTCTATCTTATTTAGGACTCGTCAGCTGGATGTACCTACGTCCTAGAGTTGTTCTCCCCGGGATTCAAACAACCAATACAAAAATTTACGAAATATTTAATGTTTTACTTTACATAAAAACGTGCTTGCCTTTCAAAAGGTTATTAGTGACCAAACTGAAATATTCCATAAGATCATAGTGTAATAAACTGTTGGACTATGATGTATCATGAGGTATTTTGGTTAGCCTTGGATATTGTGATGATCCGTTAGAGCTATATTGACTGGAACGCGTGTTCCTGGAGTTTTACCATGACAGATTGGTCCATACGAGGATGGTAAATTGGACGTTCGACTGTAAAGTACTTTTAACTGCAGAGAGCTGTGACGGGAGTAAGGTGTCGCCCTAAGTTAAACAACATATGCTGGCTTCCTACAACAAAAGGATCCGGTTAAAAAGGTCGATCCAACAATATCTTTACTCCTACCACCTTGGTTTTAATAATTTTTATTGTAATTAAACTTTCGATTCCAGAGTATCATCGATTTTTCGTCAACTAAACGCAATATATTTCTTGACTCGAACTATACTACTTGTATTATTCTATCTAGTATTTGTATTATTTGTAGTTCTGATCGTAATTTAAAACTGTATTCGATGGTAAAGACATCATTTTTTTGTTGCAATGTTTTAAATCTAACAATCCGATACTGTTACAGTGTTCATGTTATTCTCAATGCTAATTTATGATTCAGTATGAAACTGATGTTTTAGATCATTTGTATATATAATAGTGATAACAGTATTCTCAACACCAATTGTTCATTATTACAATGAATATCTCTTTAACATGGATTAAACCTGTAATTATTCAAAATACATTATTTAAATGTTTTCAACAGTCAATATCTGCCACCCATAATCAGTCAATAAAATTTTTTTTTATCAGTTCAGTTGCTATAATTGTTTCCATTCATCGTGTCTAAGGCTCTTGAATTCCAACACATGTCTCTCGTTTTTTTAAAGGATAAATAGAATGGGAAATATCCAAAGTATTGCAGTGTTTCTGTTTTAGTTCTCCAGTATTTAACGTTGGGATAAATTATAGATGTTTTACAGTAAGGCGTGAGTGAGTCCACTTTAAACTCGTAATTATTTGATCACAACAAATTTCAAACATGTAGTTTATTCGGGATATTTTGACAGTTGGGAAATATGTGTCTCAGACGTTTGAATAAGCCATTAGAAGCCTATACGTTTGAGCCAGGTTCAATGTTGATTACAATTGAAGGTTGACTGATATACATAATGTGACATTTTCGACTGATTTATTGACTTTACCCAACTCTAAGTACTTGTGATCACAAACTATAGTGTTTTGAGACCCTCATAATGGAGCGATAAGACGAACGTGCTATCTGATATACATTACGAAATATATTTTCTAAAATGAAAATATTTTTATGTTCGTAAGTAGATATAGGCGAAGGAAGACATTATTTATGACATTGAAACCTATTATCTTCTTTTTCAATCCACTGAACATCTAAAGTCGTCTAAGCTGATTCTCATAATCGGTTTTTATAGCACAGAAGCATTGAATTTTCATCTCTCAGACTTGGAGTTCTAAAGTTATCTTATATTTTTATCATGACAAGAATTCATTTCTTCTGAAATTATATTGTCTATGATTACGTTTACTACTACCGCTGATACTATTACTCTGATATTTGTCTTGATAATTTCGATGATGATTTATCTGAGGCGCGTTCATAGGTACTGACTATCTGGTTTATAGTCTACTGGACAACCGCGGTTAGTGGTTAGAGGCTGTTAGGTGATATGGTTCAGAATTGATCATAATATTATGTATGGATTCACTTTCTATCTTGCTTTAAGTTATAAATTCCTTCAGATATACTTTTTCATTCCTCCTTTTCGAGTCTTATTTCGAATGTTTAGTGTTTCTCACTTTCATTGCTACCGTGATTATTTTGTCTTCTAGTTTATGAATGAAGTTTGAGCTAACGCATATCTGTACCAGGCTTACGTTGATTGTAACTGATTGACTAAGTCCCATCTTTTATCGAGTGTAACCATGAAGAGCAAACCTATGCTTTGTCTGATAAACTGTGGGCTTTTCATATTCTGTTGTTTTCTAGTTGGGACCAATTAAATTCTTTCTCTGAGCTCCCAAACAGTAGTTACTACTTCTTATTCTACATGGGAAATAGCAAAATGATGGGAAAAATGAACTCTATTAAATAATAACTGACTTAAATTATTTTAGTAAATTATATTTTGTTCATTATTTCTATAGTGCCTAACCGATCAGCTTGGTTAGCTCCAGTTTAAGCTACAAAAAACACAACAGTACGTATGTCTAATCTCAGACAAATTGTCTGTTTTGTAAATGAATCCTCTCGATTATCTAACTGGAATTTATTAAGCAGTGGGCTTGTAGTTGAAATACTTAACTTTCACTGACTGGGCTATAAGTTCCAGCCATGCTCCACTTACCTCGATTTCTGGAACCAAGTACGTTTCCTTAATCCTTACACAAAAATGTACACGTTAAAACTGAGGACACAAACGTGCACCTTTTAATGATTTATGTTATTTTTCTTAGATCATTTTATCTTTATTTTATTTTTCATGTTTACTTTTGTACTCCTGTTACAAATTGTAACGCTTAATCTTCTGTTTAAATTTAACATTAGATTCATTTAAACAATCCACTGGAGATATTCATGCATCACAAGAAAATCAATTATCTGAAAGAAATGAAGTTTTCTCTGTATTGACAAATCCACAACGTGAAACAATGGCTGAAGAGTTAGCTGGATTTCTAGCGGAAAAAAAACGTTTTATGCGTGAAATAGTTAAATGGGATGATTCTGCTAATGATATTATTGTATTAGCTAAGAAAATGTGTGTAATTATGATGGAAATGACAGATTTTATACGTGGTAAAGGTCCATTACAATCTACATTGGATGTTATTGAGGTAAGTGATTAAGAAAAATATCTATTCATGTACTTGACATTAGTTTTTCTATCTCTTTGATATAAAGTTAATTTTGTAAGTTATAAATATGTAGGTTTGTTTTTGATGAACAACATTTCCAACGGTTAATATTAGTGATATAGCAAGGAGTAGAATTTAGAATTTCTGAAGTTAGGTGACTTAATCCAAGTCACTTTTCCAGAGTAAATAAATCAATAGCCGAAATTAAATGAACACAAATTTACATTTTCAACAGTTATTCAGATGATATTCAACTCTTTATATTAAAGGTATGCCTACAATGTTACTAACTTCAATAACTGTGTTCGATGGAAGTTGGATGGTTTTTTCGAAAACAGTATACTTTACTAACAAAGTAATTGATTTTGAAACGGCGGTTACTTAATCTTAAATCCTAATTGAAAGTGAATGCTAATCCGAATATTTTTTGAGGGGTTTTATGTAATCAATTATTCGTTTACTTTGTATTTTGATTGTCTCAACATCAACTTTACTTTCCTAAGGTTACTTTAATAGTCACTGAAGGTCATCAACATAGTACGCTTTCACTAGTCCAGTATTTTTATATTTATACTAGATATTTAAAATCCTAAGAATTCCGGGGCATTGGACAAATTCCTCCACTTCTAACTAATCTTCAATAATACTCCAGTTCATGATGAAGATCATGTTTAAATTAAATGGATAACGACTACTGATCAATAAATATTAGTCTAAAGTAATAGCATTAAAGACTTATACTTTCAGTCACTTGTTTCTATGCACGACCATACTATTTGTTCTACGTTTTACAGCTACGTCTCATCAGCTGGTTGTAGAGAAGATGGTACAATTTGGTGTTATTTGGCCAATTTTGTGCAATCGATTCTCTTAATAGTAATACTTAGCTGTAAATAATAGGTATTCTGTTTAAAATCTTCTGGTATCTACATTATCTTTTAATTGTGTATTCAACATTAATTATGGAGAAGCACAGGTTGAACTACCATTTTTAGATTGCTTAGTTTAAAGAAATCTAAGTGGAGCTCTAAATCCATCCATATATCGAAAACCAACGCACTTAAATCGTTATATCGACTTCAATTCAGTACATCCATTCAGTGTAAAAATCACTTTAGCACTTAGTCTCTTTAGAAAAACAAACAAAATTGTTACAGCTGAAGAGAATAAACAAAGAGAACGCGTTCATTTTCATTCTATTACGTATTTTTGATGTGAGATGAGAGTGTATTGATCAGTTTAGGAAAAGACCTTAGATGAGTATTTTTATTACAACAATAGTATCATCTGTATACCGCCTAATATTCCTGTACAACTTGAAAAACTCCAAATTAAATCGGCAATAGCAGTCCGTGCCATTTTCAGCAACCATCAAGTCGATATTAAAAATATCAAAATAATGCTAAAAGACTTTTCCAACTACAAAGACAGGGGATCAGCTGAAGCTTCCCATATATTGCTTAATCCTACTGCCCTTAATAGTAAAGAAGTCCTGACTATCCATCCAACTTGGATCATCTATCCGAACTACTATATCTGATTCTATTCACATCTCACACCATCATCACAAATATAAAGTCAACTCTATCTTTCCACATTACAAATATCATATTTTTTACATCGATTAACATACATACAAATACGTAAGTGTGTCTCATAGAAATCACTTAGATGAGAGTGAGATGACATTGACTTGATCAGACCTGTTTTTGATTGATTAATTAATTGATTGATTGTACTAAATATTCTTGCTTTACTCCTTTGTACCATTTAAGCTTGGATTAATTTGATTTATTTATTTATTCTTTGAAGTGTTAAAAAAATTGAAATTATACATAATTAGTAGGAAATTAATTTACTAAAATAAGTAGTACTGTTGGAAGATTAACAGAATCTTGTTACTGGATTCATTCCTAGTGATAATCCGTTTGTGATAATGTTATCTATGTCTGTGTCGTTGTTCAAGTACTGTTAGTAATGTAGAAGACGAAATCGATTTACATAAACTGGAAGATGGTTATGTATAATCCGAGTTGGTTCACTTTTGGGAGTGTCACAACATTCGTCTGACAGTGAAAAGCTTAATGTACAATAAGTTGCTAAAAGAAATTTAGCTTTATTTTAGTGGAACCTGGAACCTGTTATTTTCATATTGATGATTTATGATAACTGTATGCGTTGCTAATAGTTATCTCCGAAGGACTACTTGCGCTTATTTTTAATACCGTGTGACTATTGTTATAGTCCGATAACATGTGCTTCAATATCTTGGAGACCACCATCATTTAACCAGTGTTGTTATCTTAAAACATCAAGTTTGATTGTTTAAAAACATCTTAGGTTTCGTGTGCTTTCGTATTCAACACTGTTTATTGCTAACTCTGAGATTGAATCAAAAAAGTAAAATATCATTCAATTTATAGTTTGAAAATGTAGAATGAATAAAAATTTTATATCTCGTTAATTATGTGTTCATGGAGCATAATTCTCAACATAAATCATCTTATTCTCACCACTTCAGTGTATCAAGCTGATTTTTCTACAGTGAAATAATTTGTTAATCTCCATTCTGTTTTGTTTGTTTTTGTCTCTCGAATTACGATTCCATACGTTTAGGCAGCTCAAGAAATATCGGAACATGGTAAACGTCTAAATAGTCTATGCCGACGTATTGCAGATATGTGTCCAGATTCAGCTAGTCGACGAGATTTATCTGCCTATTTACAACGAGTTACATTCTATTGCCATCAACTAAGTATTACTAGTCGAGTGAAAGCTGGTGTTCACATGCTCAGTGATGAAATTGTAAGTCACCTCGATGATTATTTATATTATGAATATAGATGTTACTAATTGATCGATATCAGTAGACACTTGAATATGTGGTTTTTAGGATGTGAAGTTTAATGTAAACAGTACACTTAATTGTCGTCTCTCCTGATGAGTACCATCAAGTATGAACACGAGTTTTGTTTTCCTATCCTTCGTTCGTATCCACCCCAACTTTTTCTTGGCTATATACTTTATTACTAAACAAATTCAGTCACTTCAGTATGCGCCCTTTTGACAGAATCTCATCAATACTGATTGCTAGATAAGGATGAGAGGAGAAGAAGAATGATTCTTCGTGCATAAACTACTTGCAGAAATTATAAGCAGAGTTGGTTAGTGGCTAGTAGTAAAATCCAGGACTCACATTTCGTCTTATTTTGGGTCCATTAGTCAGATGTACATACATCCCAGATTTGATGTTCACTCCAGAACTCGAACCCAGTACTGTTTTCTTCAAATGCCGTCGCGTTTTCCACTTAGTTACTGAGTTCTGATTGCTACTCCGTAAATTGTTTATGCTTTCACTGACTCAATTCAATTTCCATATCGTAATTGATTGAAGCGTCACGTAGGGTATATCACCACAATGAGTTTTACATCATTCTTAATGCATCAACATGTTTATTTTACAAGTTTTCTTAGGATGGACATTTGTTTTTTCTAAGAACTATTGATTTATTGTCGTTGTTAATTAACTATTCAAATATGTAGAATTATGTATGCATTTCATGTTCAGTTCTATAACCTTTAGCACTTATTTTGAAGGAAATCTGAATTAATATGCATACTAATTAGTATTGCTTAATGAAACACACATCCACTTGACTGACCAATGATACACATTGACTTGGTCCAATTTTATTGAATTGATGCATTTACTACTAAGATGTGTATTAGTAGTTTGAAGCATATCCCAAAAATGTTTATTCGGCTGGCTGGTTTTGCACGGAAATTTTAATATCAGTCTAACTTACCATAACAGTTTATGTGGTTATTCCTTGAATAGCTGCAAAAGAGACTTTACAAATTTTTTTGATGATCAGGCTATTGATTCTGTCTAAATCACATACATTACAGGTAAACAAAACATAAGTTCGATGTAAATAACTTATAGAGTGGTTGCAGTTTTTCCGTACGATTGAACACATCCTTTCTGGTATTCCTTTTCATAATCCTCCTATGTCACATGTAGCTAGTGACCACATAATACAATGCTATAAATCAATTTCACTGAAACACTTCATCACTTCTTGTCAAGATCCAGTTCTATCGTTTTAAAACAATTACCAACTTCTTTTTACCTAACTATTCGGGACAGTTAATTTATGAGTAAAAAACTGTATTACACCTAATCATCAGTATTTATTGAGTTTCGAAACATTTTAGCATAATTTATCAACTCAACTAGGATCCTATAGCTGAATTCTTGATTGAATGTCAACTAATTTCAACTCATAGATTAATAGAATTCACGCTTTCCAACCGTACAGCATAAACAATTTCGTACACTTACCTTCAGTAAATGTATGGACACCATCATACTCGTCAATATTATTAGTTATGGCTTGTACGCTTGTGCTGGAGTTTGTATGAGACGATAAAGCAAATATTATCACGTATGTGTGCAAACTAGACTGGTTTCTCAAATATCTTGGTGATGCCAAAAATATGGTTAAAAAGCATCATATATTAAAAGCTTCGTCACATCTTTTACAAGTCTTGGGTTCAACCTCTATGATATCATAAATATTCAATGCTAATAAGTATTATATGAAGATGACAGAATCATTCAGTACCACCCATATTTTTAATAATACCCGAACTTATATCAATCTGTGATGAATACAGCTTACAAATACTGTTGTTGTTTGTTTGTTACACCAGAATTGTGAGAAATTAAACTTAAAATCTCTAACTTAGACTTTTGAAACTATTGTAGACGTGTGGCGTCATAGTTAAAGCCCTCGTCTTCAAGCAAAAAAATTACATGTTTCATCTCTCTATATATTAAAGTTTGGAAAACTGAGTAGTAAACCATTAGTCCTCATAAAAACTATATATCTCAAGGCTAAATACGAAGTGTTTACTTCGTAAATGCGTTACGTAAAAAATATCGTTATATATTAAGGCGTTAGTACTTTTTCCAGTTAAATAGTACATGCAGTCATGTAAGATAGTTGGAAGTAGTCGGCAGAAAACTTTGAACTTAAGTTTCATGCTAGGTGGTACTTATCAGGAGGACATATCATCAACCACCTAATATCGTAACATACTCCGTGAAATGTTGAACCAAATAGACTAGTGGCTATATTGCAACTTGATCGATAGAATCTAATTTGTATTAAAGGACTAGACAAGTATGATATTGGTCACTACTCAATGAAGCATTAAAAGGTATTAATGTGTGTTTTAGATATTCTGTCTATTAGCTTTCTTCTACATTAACCTACTCCATTTATTAACTTTCTAACCTTCTTTATTTTATTCTAGTTTGAAAGTGCAACTTCACTAATACAAGCTGCTAAAAATCTAATGACATCAGTTGTTTTAACAGTGAAAGAAAGTTATATAGCATCAACTAAATATCGTAATAGTTCTAATCAACGTTGTATAGTTCAATGGCAAATGCGTACACCAGAAAAAAAGTCATTAGTATCAGATTATTTAAAAAATTCTTCAATATATAATCGTGATTATTTATTTGACGAGTTGAATTCACATCATCCAGATGCATTGAATGAATTATCACAATTTAAACATCCACCTAATTCATAATTAACATGTTTATTATTGAAAATAATTTTATACTACTTATAACTATGAATACTACTAATTAAATTATGATCTCAATTGAAATGCTTTTATATTTTAATGAAAAAAATTCAATTAATCACAATTCAATAACACTGATCTGATCATCTATTGTATATATATGTATTGAGTTCATATTCTTTTTAATTTCCCTTTATCTTTTTACACATAAGTCAACAGTTTCCTTTTTTTTTCTCTCATCTAATAATGTTAGAAATCTACCTCTTTCTCTATACTTAATATTAGTTTTAAATATATCATTGTACTCTATCGAAATGCTCAATTACACATTTATTCATGTGTGTGTATCATACATATATAGGTTTGATTTCAGTGCTTCATGCTCTATAAACACATTTCTCATATACAACTCAATACATTCCTTTATCTCAGGTTATATTTTATATATATAGCCTTTTTCTCATTGTTAATTATGCCATATTGGCCAACACCATCTACTGGCACTAATCATGCTGATATTATTTAAATACTACTAATATTAGATTGTTTTCATTTTGGTTAGAGTAGATATTTTCATTATTAATCTTATTACTTTGTACGATTCTCATTCATAAATTGTTGTGTTGTACACTGATTTTTTGTAAATAATCTTAGTAATTTCCTTACCTTTACAATGTGTGTATGATGTTTGATTGTTTATTGTTGTCGGCAGCAGTGTTTCCTATATTTGTGTGCGAGTTCTGCCGTTATCCATTCCTTTTTTTTATTACTTGTTAAAATAAACAATTGTTTACTCATTTTTTAAAATTCAAATCTTTATGTTGTTATTCAGTGTAAAAGGTGACTGGTCATGGTGTACGGTTATTCTAGAACGAATGCACCTCTATGTTGCCATCTGTTTATACTCTTACTACCTTTACCACTACGGGATTTGAATCGACAACTGCATCTCTGTGCTAACGTGGTATGGCAACTCGAACTGATGTACGTACGTACGAAGTTCTACGTTGTTACTGACTGACTGACTGCTCATCTGTGAAAGTCTGGTCGTTTTACAGTAAATTTGGTACTTAAGTTTGAATTTTCACCATGCTGTACTGTTTCATCATACTTTACAATTGATTGATCCATGGGTAGTCACCAATGCCAAGTATTTCAATTTCTTCTCAATGCAGATCGAACTCTATCGATCAAGTTGCAATGTGGACACTAGTCTAGGTGACTATGTTGAGATGTAAATTGGTAGTTAGAGGTAGTTGACAGTAAATCGTACTTGACTTAGGTTTCATGCTATTTGTCACTCGTCAAAAAGTGATGCTCCTTAGTGGATTCAGTCCCGTGTCACTCAGCCACACAGTTATGCATGTTACCACTGATCTATTTGGGCCGCGTCTTTGATGTGAAGTGCACAAAACTGAATTTGTAAACAAATCTGCCAAAGTTCTTATGATCTATGTATTACATATAGAATCAATCCAAGTTTTTGGGCTGGTTCTTTTTCTATCATAAGCTCAGCTTCCGACTTGCTCATCCATTCCAAACTTCAATTACCTCTCCAGATCAGATTAGTACACCGAACTTTTCACTTCTTTGTTTACTTGTATGATCTATAGACAAGGTTGGTCTAAATTTTGTTTTCGGAATAAATTAACGTCAAGTTTGTGTTGGATCAATGCCTGTGTGTAAATAATAAATCCATACCTGTTAAGTAGATCCATTACTTCAGACTGCTGATATCTCTTCACATCTGCAATTCATGAAAGCAAGAATATACGGGCAGTTGGATTAGAGTGGATCTCCGAAAAAATTGCAATAAGATACAATGAAGGAATTTGATAGGTAGTAGACTTTACTGTATGTTAAATATTTCAAACTACACTTTCGATTAATTGGTTAGGTATAATATCTGTGTCATGTTATCGAGTTTTTATTAGTGTTCAAGTTCCATCGGTATTGTCACCTCGTTAAATCAGGCTACATAGTTTGCTTGATGTTGAGTGATTTGAGATAAAGCAATGTGAGGTCTAGATCTAGAGTTATTGGCCGAATAATGATGACCACTTAACACCAAATTGAATTAATGGACATACTATTTAACGAATTAATAGCAAGATTCAAATAGTAAGTCAGTGATTTTCTGCATTGGTTTCATAGTTCGATCCCAGCATTATCAAGTTTACTTTGATACTAAATATTAAACTACCAAGAAAATATATTTCATTCAAAACGATACAAGTATGTAATTGTATGAAATCATTACCTTAGATTTATATATCAGTAATGTAAATGTTCTTAGTTAATTTTTCTCTGGGGGAGGAGTAGGGCATTAGTTTGTAGAAAGCCTTCTGGATGCATATTTTACACTTTCTTAGCGTTCATGAAGTTTAACAACAAGATAAAATGATGTGATCATTGTAAGGGGTTTGTGAATGTTGTTGAATTTTGTACTTTTCATTGAAAGTAACCTTGGTTGGAAAACCATTAAGAATCAGACTGTCGATGGGTAATTACCTGAGTTTTGGTAAGAAGTAATGATCAGTAGAGTTCAGTCATTTCTGTTGTGAGGGAGTTACTCATCAGTAATATACGCTCAATATCGCAACTTAATTAAAGTTAGGCATTTAAACTTCAATGCTAACTCAACGGTTTGAAAGTTAAGCCCTCACTATGAAACCTGAATTTCCTGGGTTCAATTTATTGAGAGATCATGAATGCGTACTAAGTAATCCCACACTAGGACTAAATAGCTGTTCAGTGATTTCTGGTATTCAATGGTTGAGTAACTAGCCTCATTTAATGATATAGACGTCTTTATGATCATTCATACTACTGTATATTGTAATCGATAGTATTTTATGATTGAAGATCTCGATTATATTCAGATTTTATTCCTGAAAGGTTGTCTTCTAATACATGTCATAGAGCCGATTCATTGAAGTGCTTAGACAACTGAATCCTGATAAGTCTTGCAAACTGAACACTATGTTCGTTTCCTAAGTTATTTTGTAACCCCGAAGCTAGAACTTTACAGCGACATGAACAAGAGGGAAAAGGCGCAAAATATGCGAGAAGCACTGTACTCCAAAGGTTCATTTCAATACCGAAAATATAGGGTTTTTATAATATTTTAAATGTCTTTGGGTTGCTCGAAGATTCTGGAATGCTACTAAACATAGTAACCGTATAGCAACCAGCCAATCGAAACCTCTACATGTGACGTTTCACTTCCTTGATGTTTCTGGCTAAAACGTCAAGTGCGCGCTGATTGGGTGAAATGCTTTTTAGTGTTCCCTGATCCTTGTTTGGCTTTTGCGATAAATTTTCTGGATCACCCCAACAGTGTAAGTGTGGTATGGGTTGCTCATTTCAATATAAGGAGTATATAACGGTGGTCAGACATATAATGTATTTCAGTAGAAGATCGATAAGAGAGGAACGGATACGGAACCCAATTAGTATGAAAATGCATGAATAATGAAATCTGAGACAATGGACTGATATTTTCAACAAGAACAGTGAAGTTTGAGATGGTGGATTGATATTTTGCAAATTAACTCTTTACTATATGGTTCTCAGATTTTAGTGAGATGCTCTGTAATTTTATGCTCAAATACATTCGATTGTTCCCATTCGTGTTCTTGTTCTTTACATAAGTATTATCATAAGAAAAATTTCATTGATAAATGAGATATGAGAAGTCCATTTTCATTTAACGATTGTTTGTTTATTTTACACAATTAATTTTTATTCGAAATTAGCAAATAAATGAATGAAACTATTGTCGTTTATTTCCTCAAGCTTTAATCTAATACCCAGTTATATTTATAAACATTCAACCAAGGTAATTTACGGGTCTGTGTGTAGTGAACAAGAACACCAGTGGGGATAATCGAACGCATGTAACACTAGTTCATAAAATCTAACAATCGTAAAGTAAATGCTTAATTTGCAAAATGACCATCAGTTGTCTCAAAATGACTCAGACTTCATTGTTCTTGCATTTTCATACAAATTACATACTGTTTCCATTCTTTACTGTTCGATTCTCTTGTCTCTCTGCCGTCAGACCTTCTGTTCACAACTAACATCATATACTACTTATGTCAATATAAGTAGCTCACAACATATGTGATGTAATTTAGTGATATATTTACACATATGTATATGTAAATTTAACTGAATATTTAAACAAACCCGTAAGTAGATCTAAACAGTGATAATGATAAACATCATAATTTAAATCCCAAATTAGTCATGGTTAAACAACTGTTTGAAACCAGAAAGTGCTGGTCAGTTGTTTTACCCTAGTATGAAACTTTTCACCAGTGTACATCCACGAAACCATTAGGAGGGAATGGAGAATGTTCAAGTTTCGTGCTAAGTGCTTAGTCTTTGGACCGCTGAGTTAGCATCTAGTGGTTTAGATTTTATAAGGTTTATCCATGTTTCTATTCAACAAAATAACATAAAGTATCCTAGATCAAATTTTTATACTTTATAATTATGGTTACTAGATTTTCCTGACAAAACGTTTTACTGATTAAAACAATTTTATTCACTGTGTTGGTGTTGTAATACAGACCTGGAGTATACCGATCAAAGTGAATAATGATAGTGAGCCAATACCTAAAACGCAAAAAAACTTCAATAAATTTAAATTCATAGACATTATCAAGATAAGTAGTCCAAAAAGCCTTATTTGACTTTCGTTGTGCCTTTAACTGTACACGATTTATTTGAATTATCTTCCCTTCTAATGAGAATAACCAACCAAACTGACTCCACATATATTATGTCACCATACTAAATGAAGCAAATTGAAAGGCAAATTTAAAAATTCCAGTTCAAAATAATAAATAATTCTAGAACAATTATGATCTAAATAGCTCATAATGAACATTTCAGACTGTAAAGTGAAGTTATATTTGTTCAAATCCTACAGGAGACTTCCTCTGTCTCAAGATACTTGGTATCTTTTTATTCTCCATTGGCTAAATCTAATC